ACCTGCTTGCTGCCCAGGAGGAGTGACGTGGTCCGATCAAGTCTTTGAAGAACTGATACTGCAGCTCCCACCACCACAACCACGACCACGACCACTTTTATGTATTGCTGTTCCGAAGAATGAAAACAATGAGGTTTCCGCTATCTCGCAACTTCAGTCCCCAGACCAGCGAGTTGGATGACCACATAAGAAGAAGAAGAAGGAGTCAGGTAATTTGGAGGTCCAGAGACACAAACCGAACCACGAGAGGAGAAGGGGCAGGGGCGCCTTGCTTTTTATTCCCCATTCTTCAAGATGTCTTCATAAATCCATCGAACAGGGAGAGCAAGCCCGACAAAGAGCCATTACACTGAGCCATTCGCCTATTTCCGACCATCGTTTGTTTTCGATCATCATGTACGGCATGGTAGCCTTTTGGTGGTGTGGGTCGAATGAAAAGAGCCTCATCCACCACCTAATCTCTGACTCTTCTTTAAAGACCAACAAATGGCAGAGGCAGGTTGGAAGCCCAAACACATTTTCCTTCCTTTACACCCCCATTAGCCACATTTTATTTTATTTTATTCAACCGGCATTGCCACACAGCAGCAGCTTTCACCTAGAAAAACCAGAATCACCGAATCATCCCTACACCACCACCACCACCACCACGACTACAACAATCTTGTGTACTCGCAGTAGACGCATTTCCTCATTCCGGGTCCAACTTAATACAGCCGATAAATCAATTACCATCCTCAACGAGAGCGAGAGAGCGACTAAAACAATGGGATGAAGACGATAGGAAAACAGATTTTAGGATCGGCATAGGCCAGAGTTCTCCCCTGCACACGACAAATAAGTGGGGGCGGGAGTCGTACTCGAAGCTTTCACTAATGCAGCAATTAATCTGGAGATATCAGACAACCAACCAAAACTGCTGGAAATGAGCTCTTGTTTTTGGGTGCATAAAAACCACAAAGCCATGAAGAGGAAACAAGGCGATTTCTTCTTCTTCATCGCAGGCATTTCACTCCATATTCCCAAAGTTTTGAGACAGTCGGGTGAAAAAAAATGGATAAATAAATCTGCATGGCATGCTTTCTCCTCATCATCTGTGGGGAGAAGAGCCGAGAAACAAGTTGGTGTAAATTAGGCGTACAAATTTGGAGGCAGCAGAGAAAGAGAGAGAGAGAGAGACAAAGCGGCATTGTTTGGGGGCAGGAGTGCTAAATTGAAATAAAAACCGAGTGACTGGCGTGGAGTTGGTGGTTGGGAGACAGTAATACAATAGCAGCAGCAGGGATTGCACCACTTCTTCCACGACCAATGTGATGGCTCTTGTTCTCTCCTTATCATCAGCATGGCAATGTGTGAGAGAGGAGAACTGTGATTTATAGCACGTCAACTTAACAATACCCCAAGTTTTAACAAATGACCTACGTGTTGTTTGCTAAACGGGGCATGAACGTATTTTGCTAAGCTAATATGCCAAATCCCACCTCAAAAAACTTTTCGTGGCGGAGAAATCAATAAAGCTTTCTCCGGAAGAATGACAACAATTTCTCTGAGCTACTCAACAACGGACCCTCTTGCTCCCTGTCAGCTCACCCGGCGAATTAATCAATGCCCAACAGTTTAAAAACAAAGTTCAAAGCTGTTTTATTCAACTTAATGGAATGCAAAGCTGTTCGAGGAGTAAAAGTAAAAGCGACGGAACAACTTTCATCGCCTTTCATACAATAATAATAAAACGAAACAATTTATCCTTTTCTTCACCATTTTGTATGTACACGGCTCACCCACCACCTTGCTTGCCTTATAAAGCACACGATCCGTCAAGTTAAAAACAACCCGGAAAATGTGCCCGAATAAAAGGCTGCCACCACCAATCTCTATTAATTAGTAGAGTGGAAGAACAACGGCTCAGTGAGAATTTAACCCAAATTCATATCATTACTTCCGGAGAAGTTCATCCATATGTACGGGAACATGTAGATACAAACAAACATTGGGACGCTGCTCCCACGCGAAAAGATTGCCACTTTTTGAACCCGTATCACTGTCATCATCAATATTTGATAGTGCATGTTGGTGAACATGCACCCTCATAAGCCGGATAATAATAATAATATTCACAAAGTGGTCGCATTTTGTAGTACGCAGCCTTCCGAAGAGAAAGATAAATTGGAATAACGTGATAAACTTGTAAAGTCAGCAGGAGGAGGCGGAGAGAGAATAATGTGTGGGATAGAGTTCGAGGGTCTCGCTTATAAAACCAAGTCCATAAAACAGAGGGCTTTCTTCTTCTTCCTCTTCTGATATGGCACATAATATCATTGCTTTTCTGGTTTGGTGGACAACACAAGTTTTACCACCACATGCACACATGTAGCAAGTAGGATAGTAATGTTGGTGAAAGTGGACAGCATATGGTGGTGAGCCGTGGTCATAAAGTTTTGATGAGGCTCGGAACAACTGCAACATGGGGCAGGAGAAGGATGACATTTGGGCATAATGGGAGTCGTAAGTGACCGCACTATCAAGGACCAAGGTTTGTCTTCTTCCTCCTCCTCCTCCTCCACCTCCTGCGTTACAATATTCCGACCACATCTGTCTCAAAGATCAACAACTTGATTAACTAAATGCCATCTCAGATTGGCGAATTCACACTCGTTCTCTCTCTCTAAGAAAAATATGGGACCACAGGACAGAATTCTAGCGCCATTATTGGCCATCCGCTCTCAATTCCTTTCTCGGAAATGATTCCCAGTTTTTGAGACTGCCAAAGTTTTGTATTTCCAACGTCACACTCGGGATAAATTTGATTTGAATTGGGTGATCCAAGGAGGAGGAGGAGGGAAAGGAAGGAGTGAGACGAGAAGCTGGTGAGGTAGGCATCTAACCATTGTTGGACGTGTCGAAGTCAATGGGAGGCAGAGTTTTTTTACGACAGGAGCAGGAAGACGGCATGGCTCGTAGCGGGCATTAGGACGGGAAGGGAGCGAGCTGTCCAGCAATGTCTCTTTTATCGTGATGGAGAACTATAAATATTTCACAATCAGTGCAGCCTGCAAACTCCAACCAGTTCTCTCCAGAGCTCGTATGCATGTGGGAGAGATGGTTGGATGACTGAGAGGGGGCAGAGAGAGAGAGAGAGCAAGGTTGTCTCAAATCTGTGAAATATGTTGAACCAGTCGACTCTCATATGCTGACACGTCGAGGGTATAGAGCAGTAAAGATATCCATTTGGAGCAATAAAAAGACAAAAATCCTGAAAGTGCATAGGAGACGAGATCTTGACAACTGAGTTTGCAAACTACAAATGCGAGACCTGTGAATAAATTTGCCCATTTGCTAACACCATGTTCTTCTTTCCCCTTGGTCTCTTTTCTTCCTTCTTTTCTCGTCTTGCCCTCCTCGTCCCCCGATCAAGCTGAGTTTCTCCATTTCCGAGAATGTAACTTTCTTTTGTATTCCTCTTGAATACAAAAGCACACATTACACATTACTCAATCTACTTAAAGGGCACCCTCTCCTCCTCCTCTTCCACCACCACCACGCATCTTGATTCAGCTGCATCAGAACATAACTCCTTCCTCGGCCTCTGCCTTCGTCTTCCCTCTCGCGCTCTGCATATCTCTTTTCACTCAATCCACCACCAACTCACTTTCTCCGCACTAAATGTATGCGTATTATTATTACATGTCTCTTTTCTCCCTCTTTGAGCCAAAGCCATGCATCAACCTCTCTCTCTCTCTCTCCACAGTTAAACGTTTAGACGGCCACTCACTCCTCCACTCGTACGTCGTATGCAACAACCCCCCTGGCTGGTGAGCCGAATCAAACATTTTTTCTTGGCTTCAACACCACAAATCCGGCCCCAGAAGGAGAAGAAGCCGTATGCAGCTCTTATAATAAAGCTGGCTGGATGCATGGTCATTGAGCCACCAGGACGACGGCCACGGTTAAGCTGGTTTCTGGGCGCAGAGGGAACAAAGGGCTGCTGCTGAGTGAGTGCGGAAGTAAGTAACTGGAAGGGAGAGAGAGAGAGGCAATATACAAAAAGCTAAAGCTGGGAGTGCGGAAATGGTGGGATATACATCATCATGCAAACGAAATGTGCTCCCATCCTCCTCCCACCACCACCACCACGACGACGACGATCAGGCAGGATGGGAATGAGAGTGTCTTCTTCTTCTTCCACCCGTCTTCCTCTCTTCTTGGAAAAACATTGGGATGCATAAAGTCATATTTCACAAGAGCCACTCATATGCACCCACCAATTCTGTAGTTGTACTTACTTCTTGGCTCTGAGAAAGTGGGAAGAAGAAAGGGATGCATTGCCAGCTGCACCTACATTCAGCGAGAGGGCCAGATATAGGGATCTGGGGACGACGGAACTTCATTTCACCACCACGAGCTCTTTCTCCACGCGATAAAGTAAGCAAGCAGCATTGGCACCGTGGTGGGTAAGCGTCTGGCGAGAAATACATATACATGGGGCCATTACGAGGAAAAGTGCTTTCACTCCGGCTCCTCAGTCATTTTCAATATTGGTGTTTAATAAGAAAAGTTGTGCCGCCTGGTTTTATCTCCTCGGCTGCATCCCTTCCTCTCCCAGCCAGCTTTATCACACAGAGGCCACAAAACTGTCATTGCCGGATATTGCATCTTCCCTCCTTCGTTTCCCGGTACAGTCGCTTGCATAATTTTACCTTCAACACCTCCACTGCAGCCATGTCCATGTCGCCAGCATCTCTTACTCGCCAGGGTCCCATACTTTTGAATTGCTCTGGCTGGGTCTGTCAGCTCGTCAGCAGGCAGGATTGCCCACTGCGTGACGTACGTAGAGCCAGGACCACATTTCAAGTCTCGACTTCTTATTGGAGTGGAGAAGATAATGATGTGGTCAGGCCAACATGACCACAAAACTGAATGCATTTGACACCACATTTTTACCGCTCGTAAAACTTCTGGCAAGTTTCCAACAAAATTAAATGAACAATCACATTTATACGTCGAAATTTTATAGCAGTAACAACGACCCTTTTTATTAATTTTACGTCATATACATATGTCAGTATCTGTGTAAGCAATTACATGTATATACCAATTACTTATGTGTGTATCCTTATCTCAAAAGGATCCAGTAAACAACACCCCTCATCATGATCAGTTAAGGTCCATTTTTAAGGCGTCATCATACCCATCATCACTTTTTTGGTAATGATACTGATAACGCAGCCCCAGTTTCTTTGTAGTACTTATCAGACTTAAGCTAAGTATGTACCCCTCATCATCATCATTACCAGTGATTAGTTGGTGGACCCCTCTACTTGTCAGCGTCAACATTGGTACGTACATATTTATTAAGTAAGTGTATCTCGTGGCGTAGCAGTAGTTGGTCGTGGTCTTCTTAATTAACTTCCTAATTAATTATAGCAAACAGCGTGAATAAACAGGGACGGCTTCTTGGCTGGTGTATAAAAATAAATAAATTACGACATTCCAACAACAACACAGATTGTGTAGCAGCAACAACAAAACAACAAAAATAAATACTCTTACAAGTCTAACTACTTAGAAAAGAGAGGTGAAAGCGGTGAAAGTAAGTAATTGCATTCCGTAATCACAACAACAAATTATAAACCCTCGAAAGCTGGTTGGTACTTGTTGGGCTGTACTCGTTTTTTGTCTCAATTAGCAACGTGCAATAACTCATGAGGATGAGGACGACGTGGCCTTTTTGTGCACTGGGTATTTAGCCCCCTCCACGTATGAGACCGAGTGTTTCGAGCTGTACGAAGTCTTCACACCTGATGCTGCCGTCTCCGTGCTGCTACTTATCTCGGACGAGGGTTGTTCCAATGGGAGGAATTGTGGGATCGCGATGCCAGAGGTGCCACGACCACCTCCGCCAACAACTTCCTTATTTCCAGTCTTTAGACCACGAGTGCTAGACGATGATTTCGATCCTCCATCCGCTTTATTCGAGTTGAATGCAGCAGCAGCGGCGGCTTCCAGTTCAGAGGAATCCGTTGGTTTAATACGGAACCACTGGCTTTCTCCATAAGTCACCGTTTCAGATTCTGCCGAGGAGGAGGTGGGTCGTGCTGCTGCTGGTGTTTTGGAAGGTGTCGTCGTGTCATGAGAAGAACCCTTTTCCGCCGTGGGTGTCGAGCTTGCCAAGCTTTTTCTCCGTTGTAAGATCCGTCTCTGTTTCAGGGGGGAACCGCGAGTAGGTTCGTACCCTGCGTTATCGTCGTGATGTTGATCTGATGGTGGACCGTTGATATGTTTCTGGTCCACGGTGGTGGTGGTCGGGGTGGTCGAGGTGGCCTTGGTGGTTGATCGTCCCCCGAAAAGAGAGGAGATTGACTTTGGACTGCTGCTCTGCTGATGGTCTTGTTCTTGTTGGTCTTGCTCATCCCCGGCAGATTTGACACGAGAGGAGAAAAATCTTCGTCGGACGGCAGCATCGGGTCGTCGCCGGCGAAAGTGTCGTCTGGATTTATATGCCGTTGAAGTTTCTGGAGAGGATTCCGTCGTTGACGGAGATGGTTGGGCATCTCTGATCGGAAAGCGTACACTTTTCGGTGTGTTTGAGTCCACGTGGTCCCCTTGGTCTCGAGCAGTGGTGGTGGTGGTGATGGCCGTAAGGTACTTTTTGAGGCCAAATCCACTATCCTCTTCGTCATCGTCGTCGTCATGCTTTTCAAATCGGGAGGGTTTGTACGTGGTAACGGGTGGAATTGTCTCCGCATTGTAGGCATCCTTGCTGATCTTGGCATTACTCGTTTTTGCCGTAGTGCTGACATGGTACTGTTGATATTGCTGTTTGTGAGTCGGCTTGGATTCGTGGTGGTGCTTTTTGAGCGTGGGAGCAGCCGGGGTTACCACGATTTGTTGCTGTTCAGTGGAAGAGGAGACCAAGTCATTGTTGTCGTTGTTGTGAAGCTTGCTCCACACGGGAGATGAGTCCAATGGCTGGATAAAGTCGTTATCATTTGACACAAGGGAGGACTCTGACGTGGGGATGAAGGGCGGCAGGTAGGACGAGATGGCAGAGTTGTGCTTATTATTGCTTGAGATTGGACGGGCAAAGTGTGGTTGAGGACTCGACTGCTCCGCATTGTATCCTTCGTAGGCATTGAAATTGTTGATGAATTGCGGTTGCACGACATGCGTCTCGATCTGCACGGTCGGTTTGGAGTCCAACTCTTGTTCCGGGTTTGGATTAAAGGATTGGTCGAACGGTTGGAAGAATTCGTCAAAGAATGATTCCGGCGGATGGATATCGGGCGACTTGTGACTCTGAATCGTCTGTTGGTTGGTGTGAGAAGAAGGATGGTCGTCTCTCAAAATGGGGCGCAATTGGTCCATGAACTGCATCGGGATTTTGTCATATTCGACAGAGCTCCCAGCATAGGCGGGGGCATACTCTGGGAATGCGAAGGGATTGGCATTTGACCGCTCTGGGTTGTTGTGTCGGAATGGTGCTCCGGGTGTCGTGGAGGAGAGTGGGTCTTCGCTCGAGTCTCTCATTTCGACACTGGTGTAGGACGATGAACCGGAAGATGGTGACGATGGGGATGACGGAGGGAAGCCGACGGAGGAAGGTGGTGCACTACTGCTCGAGTGGTAACGTGGGTATCTCATGGTCGATGTCGACGTGGGCGGCGGGAGTCTCATGGGTGGAGGAGAGTGTTGGGCAGCTTGGGAGAGTGGAGGTGGGTGTGACATTGAGGGTGGTGGTGGTCCATGTCGGTGGACGTGTGGTGGGGGTGAGGACGGTGGGAAGCGACCCTCGAAATTATTATGTTGGGGAGAATGCTGGCTGTTGGGTCCGAAAGCAGGAAAGTAGGATGGCTCATGATTCGAGTTGGAGGAAGTGAAAACTGGTCCCGAATTGTGTTGATGGTGCGGTGGTGGGAATCTGAGTGGTTTATTCGGCCCATTATTGTTGGGTGGCTGCTGGTGTCCAGGTCCGTTTTGGACATTTATTGCTCCAAAGTGAGGACGATTATTTGAGACATAATTTCCATGTGGGCTGCTGCCCGACCCTGGGTGACTTTCTCCACCGCGGTGAAAGTCGGGTGGGGCAGGAGACCTCATGACGTTAATTGGGTATTGTGGGTGTGAGGAATGGTGACTTGGAGGGTAAGTATGATGTATAACTTGTGGTTTCCCACCAGGCATGGTCATAAAAGACACCGGATGCTGTCCAGTATTTTTGGAAGGGTCGGTATGGAATCCCGGTGGGAAATACGAGTCGTCGTCTCCGGAAAATCTCTGAGGCGGGTTCTCCGAGGGATAAGAAGAAGGTGGCAATCCTGCTACTCCTGGTTGGTCCGTGGTGTGATCGTCAATCTTATTTTTGGTGTCGGGTCGCTGCTTTCTCCGACCACGTAAAAGCTGCTGCTGCTGCTGGCCTTCAGGTTCCGTCTCTCCTGATTCAGATGGACCGTCCGAAAAGCTGTTTGACACTGGAGTGCGTTCAATGGGTCGTCGAATCCTCTGCTCTTCTGTGTGATGTTGATGATTCCGGTGATGACCACGGTTTGGTGGCGGTGATGATGACGGTGGTGATCTCTCTGAAGTTGGACGTTGGGGCCGATTAAAATTGTGCACGGGCGATCCACCATCCTCTTCTCCGCTACTCTCAGTCTGACTTGTCGGCTGTTGTTGTTGGGGTCGCCCAAAAAATTGAGGGTTTCGTCGAGGCGGTGAATTCTCAGTGGTTGACGGTTCTGAATTACTTATAGAATTCTGATGGTTGTGGTTATGATTTCCAAATCTCTGTCCCCCAAGTTTCGATGGTGGCGAAGACGACTCCTCGTCAGATTGGGTAGTAGATTCCGGCTTCGGTTTTGGACGAACTCGCACACGACCTCGATTGATCAGTTTTGTCTTGAGATTTAAGGGTTGATCTTGCTGTGTGCTGTCACCGGAAGGTGATGACGTAGCATGCTTTCCGGGGAATGGAGGCAGGACGGAGATGCCTTGGTCGTTTTGTGACTCTTGAGTTGCATCCTTGTTCACCTGTCCTCCAGCCGAGGGGCGTTGAGGTCTTTGTCTCAGCTTGAACTTGGGAAATTTCGGAGCATCCTCAGATGAAGAAGGTCCATTGTTACCATTGTCACTCTGTTGTTGCACCTTTTGAGGAATTTTAGGTCTGTTGAAGGGTTTCTTTATCCCCTCGTCTTGTTGAGGAGGTTGTTGGCGATTTGCTCCAACTGGCGACTGTGATGGTGGGGGTGGCAATCGCTTATTCCAGATCGGAATCTCGACAGCTTTAATCATCGGGACAGTAGGAGGAGGGACCCTCACGCCCTGATTTTCTGAGAACGCCTGCTTCAAACTGTGATAGTGTGGCTTCATGTGCTCAGTTTGTTCTCGGAAAAGTGTGTCTAAGTTTAAGGTCTGAGTGGGATGACTAGAATACATAATATTTTTCCCGTTGTTTTGAGGCAACATCCCATACGTGGAACTCTGCTGGGTCACAAGATTTGTACTGCCAGGCGTCATGATGTACGAATTCTGGTACGGCTTCACGATTGGCTTCCATCCTTTATACGTGGAGGACAAGTAACCGTGGGGCTGGGAGTCTTTGACTGACTGGAAATTCGGAGCATGCAAATTGTTCGGGTTTGCCATCGCTGTCACGGGAAAGTGTTTCGACTGCTCTTGAATTATTTCGTCTTGTTGGAAAAACGGTGGCGGCACGCCCAAGTCTTGTCTTTGCGGGTGGTGGTGGTGGTGATGTTGGTGAGGAATCGGGTTATTATGCATCATCGGCTGGATGAGCATGGCCCCCTGGTTGTTGTTCTGATTATGATGGGGCGACTGCTCATTGTGTGGGAAATTGTGTCGAAATTGGGGTGGAGGAGGTCGCGATACTCGGCGATGACCGGGTGGGGGAGGTCTGTTATGCATTCGATTTGGGAGTCTGGGGTATCCGTGGTGGTGGGGTTGAATGTGCCGGTGATGCCTCTGACCTCCTGGGCCAGGTCGGGGTCTGTCGCGCCCCATGTGTTGGGAGGGACGTCGAGGACCATTATTATTGTTGGGGTTATTGTTCCAGTATGCGCCGAAACAGCTCTCCAAGTAAACGAGGACTAAGGTCACTATCACCTAGAAATTCGAAATAGGCCCAGCTTTATTTGATGAATATTAAGTTGTTCGCAATTCCAATTTGTTAAATAAATCCTCTAAATTCAAAATGTCAAAAAATTCCTAAAAGATAATCCATGCTTTAAATAAATGCATAAATAAATACGTTGAGAAATGCTTAAAGAAATGCTAATCTTTTTAGCTTAGATTTTCAGTGATTTTCAGTTTATAAATTTTGAGATATTTTTAGGTACATGAATTTCTTTGTTTTCATGCATCTATTTTCATACGAAATCGAAACTTGATCTCAATATTTTTTTAATCCGGTTTCATTTCAGCCCAATTTGAAGTGAAGCTTGTGGTTCGTTCACCACAAAGTGCATGTTATGACGAACCTGATTTTTTTCTACTAAATACTTAAGTATTCGATTAAACATTGGAAAAAAATGCAAAAAAGAATAACAAGGAATTACTCGCAGCTGGGTATTTATTCAACGGTGATGATGGTGACAAAAGTGGTTCTCAATTGAAAAAAGTAAGTTATTATTTTGTCAAACCGAACTTCGTTTGCATATTTAGTTTAACTCGGATAATAAAAATGCCTGCTGGTTCCTAGCTTTTGTTGCGTATGGAAATTGTATTATTGAGAACGTGGAGTCGGCATGTAAGCATTTATGAATTTACACGGCTTTATAAATTGAAAAATTGACGATTGAGGCATCCCACCCACCAACATTTGACATGAGGTTTGTATTTCTCAAATTGGGCTAGAATTACTTATTATGTAGACTAAAAGTCAACTAGCTATGTAAAACGAGGCCTTTTAAATAGTCAAGTCACTCGAATTTGCGAATATTTACGGAATATTGCTCTACTTAAGGCGTCATCTGATCGTCTCAGATGTCGAATATCCGGGGCAACAAAAAATGCTAGAAACTGATCCCACTTTTGCAACTTACCAGTGACAACTTCATTGTTGTGGTGTTCCTCACTTCTTAGAAATGTGCTTATTTTAGTGAATTACTGGCCACTATTTAGCTTCATCTGTCACTTTTTTGTACTTTTATGCCTTCCTGATTAGTTCACTCCTTTATCGGTATCGGTTTTTTTCTAATTGCACTTGCACCACTGATTGTCACACAAGGTCACAGTTTAAAATACCATCAGTAACAATTGATAACAACGAAGAAAACAATTTTGAGGCGTCGGAAAAATGATCTCGCACGCACACACCCACTCCACTACTGACTAAGGAATGATGCCAATTATTATGGTGGCGATGGTTTTTCGAAGGAATAAAGTAAAAGCGAAATGTGTTTAAAATTCTCAACCACCGCACTACTCAAGCCAACCACTCGATTCACACTAATTTCAATGTGAATGATGCAGTTTTGTACATCAAACATTAAATTGTCCTCTAGACCGTGATCACAATACGTTGGGAGGTTGAAACAGAGTAATTTCCATCCTTATTCCCTCTCGATATGAAAATGCAGATGCCTTTATTTTTCATCCTACGTAAGCGTCATGTTTGGCAGAAAGTGGAGCACGTTACGAAAAAAATGAATGGATCATCATCATCATCACCACCGACGCCGTACGTCCGTGTGTTAGGAGTCTTCGTAAAGCAGAGCATCATCCCATATCAAGAAGCAACCGAGATTCGAATCGCTTAGCACTCAACGTTTAAAATTGTCCTCTCGAATTCAGTGCTTAGCCACCACCGCCCCCAACGCCAGGCAACAACACAGGTGCAGTGATGGTCGTGCCAGTGGTGGTGACGAAAAGCCAGAATTTTTATTAAATCCTTCTTCCGTCCTCGTCTACATTCCGTCGCTATTAACACATTATTCCCCCCGCAGTCGTAACCAGCATTTATAATGTCAACCCCGTCGTCGTTCGCATAAGTAGTTAGTTGTTGTTGTTGGGCGACTCATTGTTGCTAAATTCCACTGCGGAAAGAAATGAGAATAAGAGACGTGTAGGTATAGTGCATAGTGCAGCAAAATGTATGAATTTTCTCGTCATCCCTTTGTGTTGATGATGATGATGAAGATGCTCTCCTCGCTGTCTCTGATTCCATTTCTCATTTCAGAAATTTGTAGTAAATGGTCCTTGCAGAGAGATATGTGGGGCATGATTTTAATCTGTTTCTCATCAATACTTATTTATTACTAGGCTTAAGACTTGTGGTCAATTAGCGAAATAATGTAATGAATGTACCTGCCTGTTTGCACATGTGAGTATATAAATAAGTTTTTAATTGTACTTACATCCACTTTACCACTTGGGTTTGTATTTGTTGTTGTTTACTTACCACTTGATGTGCAGGGTAAATAAACAATTCATGTCAGCGCATCATCGACACAGGGCATTAATATCAAGGGAAATTGTAGGTTGTGTCCTTATCAGTTGAAATTTAGAACAGTAAAAATTGAAATTTGGCAAAAGTACAAGTGAGTCAAAGTGGAGATCAAGACGAAATGAAGAACCACGAAGGAAGAAATACATGTGAAGACGCAGTGATGGAATTAGCACGCGCCTCTAATGTGCAATGATTTACTCGCACTGCGTTAAAAGGAAAGCCAAATAAAACTCTAACCTTCATCAGAGCGTGGCACAACCATTTCTGCCGTAAAACTATATGTACAACTGCACCACGGCAAACTAATTAACCTTGATTGGCCAAACAATATAGTGCGGATTTTTATAATCGTTTCGGATTCTATGTTCAGGTATGTGGAGTACCGTCACCATGTTCTTCTGGGAAGTGGGGGCGTACATTGTTGGGCGATACACTTGAGCAGCAGTGCTTAATTGGTGGTAAGGAGCAGGTACACATTCACAAGTGATTTTTCCACTCTCGATTGTCTGAGGCCATGGATGACTTCTGTTGAATGTGAACTTGTTAATTATGCCAAGCGAAAGAAAAAACTGAGATTTGCTAATTGAATCTATTTCATTAAAAAGAGACAGAAAGAATCAAAATGTCCATAATAATGTGTCCATTGCAAAAATTGATGCATCATAAATTACACATTCGAGGCGTTGCCTATGTATCGATGTAACTTTCCATTTTTGTTCTGCGGCTTACAATGAAAGTCAAAAACCGTGCAACATCATCACCTTGCAACAATAGTAGAAAAACAAATAAAAGGACGAGTAAATATTTATGTACGTCTGCAAATGCAGAATCAATATCGTGCCTTTATCACATCAGATGATGATTATTATTATGTCGGCTGAGAGAGTGAGAATGAGACTGAAAAAACCGACCATGTTGGCACAGGAAAAAAAGGAAAATCTCGAGGATAAGTTAACAAAATCAAGAAATGATCTCATAAAATGTGAGCCGAGCTTAAAACTTACTTTACCACGACGCAAGGAAAAAAGCATAAATAAGTAATTCGGTGTCTGAGCATTGTTGTTCTTCATTCATTTTTCTTTCTACATACGAGAGCAGAGCGCACAGCACAATTTAATTTTTCCAACCCAATACACAGTCCTTGTGGTTGGTGTTGTACATACATACAAACATGCACATGAACGTAGGTAAAAGTATAAGTACATCGAATTTCAGGGCAGTCATAATACCGAAAGATTGGATACAATGCGATGCAACAACTTTGTTACACAGAGACCAACTCCTCAACGCGTACTCAAGCGTGGGATGCACATGCACAGAACTTATTCATCCCTTCTTCTCTTCTCTTCTTGAGTACAGATTGCGGTCATATTTCATCTTTCGAGATTCTGAATTGATTGGTGTTTACTGCAGGTATTTAGAGTTTCGCAGTGTATGCATTTGCAAAGTGGGAAGCTACTTTTATGCATCCGTAGGCTGGGAAGATCTTCTGGATCATGTGATATAAGTGGTTTACATGACTCTTCCCTTTCGCTTGGTCACCTTTTTGTAAACCAATTTATTCCCTGCAGCCTGCAATTTCCCACTGTCTCCATCGACCGTGAAAGTTGATGCAAAAAACTTTGTGTTCTGATGACTGATCTAATCATCCATCTTAATGAATAAAGTTTGTCACTTTATTGTAGATCATACACTTTAGAGACGGATGTTTTTATTTTGTGGCGTAGAAACCGGACATGGATCGCTGTGTGACTGAAAATGTGGGGCTAATCAATCTCGTCGAAGACAAATAACGTATTTGCATAAACAGTTAGAAGTTTGTATCAGGTGAAGAGAAAGGATGTACATTGTCATTAATTATTATTTTGCAGGACACAGTGGTAAGCGTTATATGTAAATATAAATAAACGGAGATTACGAGTAGAAAATTTTGCACAACATTTGCAAAATTACAGCCAAAACGGCATGTAAGGGGATCTAATTTTTTTTAAAGATTTCTATTTCAGTAAGTAAACACAATATGTCGAAAATGTGTTAAGCAGTCGACACAAAATTTTAATTCCTAATCGCAAAAAAATACTAAGAATATTTTAGCTCTACTACTCGTCGACAATGTAATTTATACCAATTTGCAAAATCAAGTCCTCCGGCCTCCTCCAACTGGCATTGTTACTCATTTATGCTCGTGCATGTCGTCCCTTTCTTATCGTCAGTGCATCGAACGAGGTAGCAATAAAAATGTTGATGCGTATTTTAAATGAGTTTGAACACCCTGATAAAATGCCTTCTCGGTAATTGAATCTTTTATCGAATCTTTTATTGAATCCTGCTCCTGCGACTTGTATGTGACCGCTCTATGTTTGATGCCAGCCTATTCTCCTATAATCTCGGGGTACACATTATTTTCCAAATTATAAACTTGATTCATGATTGACACTTACAATCATAATCCGCCTTTATTATATTACAAGGAAGGCATGCAGCAGTTGAAGGAACTGCAATAATTCATTGTCGTCTTCGTCCCGTGAGATTTACTACCTACGATTTTATGCATATGAATATCTGCATGAGGACGCTTGTAAGTACTGCGGTAATCCTTTTTAGGTACCTTTAGTTTTGGTGGACTGATTTTTATTAAACTGGCGAGTCGACTATCTAGCCGCATTATACGTATTCGGGGTGTTGAAACTTTAAATAAGTGCTCGGCGGTGATGGGTGGTGTTATATGAACGATTTTCAATTATGCGTGTACGTGTACATTACGCAATGTGGGCATATATACCGCTTGAATATGTCGGCTATCCTACATCTATACAAGTTTGGAGAAAAGGGGTTAAAATCATCCTCCATCATCATCATCATTACAAATTTAGCGTGGAAAATTGTTGGTGCGTATTTTATTTTAGGACTTAATTCCACAACCGGCTTAAAAGAGAATGAATGGCGAAATGCCATACTAAAGAGACACTCGACTTGGGAACATATTTCCATAATAAGACTTTATTGGCTAGTAAATTATCACGTCTCTGACACTGCCTAAAACTCTTCCAGTCTCGAATTTTACCTGAAAAGAGTGGTCCTCTCTACCACCATGCACCACGAGGACCAACCACCACTAAAAAGTGTTTAGTGTAATACAAATAAACAATTTTCACTAATTTTTGCGAGCACTGCGACCACAAAGGTATTATTTTGTTTTACGATTATGGTCACTATGCACATAAAGTGGTGTTATTGTGTTCTGTTATTTTCATTCTCGCGTGCTTCATTTCTTATTAAGGTCACTAAATTTCATGCAAAATTCTTGAGCTTTTTATCCCCAGACTAGACCGTGTGGTGTGCAGCTAGTTTGTATGTGCTGGTGGTCGTGGCACTTGAAAATTTGGTGGAAGTAATGCATATATTTAGTTTACGTATTCCTTCCTTGGTGGTTTTTGACGATGGTCATGATGGGGACGATGATATGACATACCTCTTCTATTCCTCGCCTCTTTGGCCAATTAAATTACAGAGACAAAGAGAAACTGTCCGGAATCTGGCGTAAAATTGGCCATCAACTCATAATGCTCAGCAATCACATGGCATTTAAACGCAGTAACTAGCTTTAAAGATGGTCGTTATTGAAAGCAAATATGACGACAACATTTATTTATTGGCGTCGTAATTTGTCAACTGTGATGATGGTGGAGGTGCTTCAGGGTTCTTAGGAATAAGGACGTTTTATTAAGAGGATGCATTCAATTTGTCGGATAAAGCACTACGTGCTTGCCCGTTAACTAAGTGACTCGTCATCTTCTTAATTTGATCTCTTATATTATTGTATTGTTTTGAAAGTATGTGGGGAATAATGATCACTTTATTATTTAAAACGAGTCTAAATAATGACGGAATGAAATTTTAATTACACATTTAAGCCTAGAGAATGAATAGACATAGACGTGCAATTATTGTGGCATTTTTATGTTAATTAATTACATTGGGTTGACTTGAGAGGATTTTGCAAGTTTTCCGGTCACTAGTTTTCATTAATTTGGTGAATTTTCTCGCCAAAAATGTCAGCAAAGTTTTTGCGGTGAAGGTGTGCCAGCCAGCCAGCAGGAGGAGACGACTTTTCTTCACGATATGAAACGCGAAGGTCCGTCCAAAAGAAATTTTACTTTTGTGCCTGCTGAGCCATCAAGCATTTCAAATTATCTTGAGCAGCCGACCCGTCATCGTCATCTTCACTCCTCGCTCACTCCAAATTCTTCACTAAAGTCGTATAATGTTCATAGCTCATGAAAATGAATCCTTGTTCTTCTTGTTCGCTTTCCTCGTCTCCTGATTTGATAATGCTACCAACTACTCCATATCCTCTAAAAATCTCCCAAAAAGATACAGTGAGATTGATGAGTTTGATTTTTTATGGTAGTCGGCGATGTATCGTTTATCTCGTCTCGAGTCGTTGGAACGTTTCAGAGGAGGACGAAGGGTTGCTCTGCCTGACAATAAAGAGCATCAAATGTATGGCGATGATGGCGATGGTGTGCACCCTCCAAATATTTATCGTGACTCGTAACATGATGAAATACCTCTGCCCGTATATTTAGGCAACAATGAATGGGTCATCTCTTTTCAAGTGGTGGTACTTGTCCGACGTGAAGTGATTGAATATCGGTGTGCAAAAGTGGAGTGAGAGTTTAGCTGTTGAATTATTAGGATCAATGGCAGCAGTAACGACCGAGTAAGGTTGACCATGTTCAAAAGAAGAACTGTTTGTCGTTCCAATAGTAAATAAGTAATGTTCACACAGAGAATAAAAGGACGATGGGATGAACTTGGTAGTCATCCTGCCTCATTGAAAAGTGCAGTTGTGGTGACCATACATACGAAGAAAGAATAGCTGACCACCACCACACCTCTTGGTCAAGCAATCTCTCATCAACCCAAAATAGACGCATGATTGATGCCTATCTTAAATAATTCTGCAACAAATGTCTCGCAGCGTGGAATTGTAAATTGGTTTATTAATAATCATGAAATTAGAGGTAGTCGCTTTAAAACTGAGGAGAGTGAGATTCTCGGGATGATAAATGTTGTAGTAATTTCCTCCGTGCATGGCAATCTCGTGTGTTAGCATGATAATGAAGGATGATGATGATGAATAAAGTGTTTTCCGAATAGTCGCACACATACAACACACACATACACAAACACACCACACGTTATTGTTGGTCTCACTGTGTCAGTTCCGTTTTCTCAAGTGGACCTGCATCATCGTCGTCTTCACCATTTGCAAAAATAAATGACTGAATGAGGTCGATTATTCCGTTTGTAGAGAGAAAAACGTGACATGTAAATCATAGCCGGGCTTTTAGCACAAAATTATTCTACCTTAACCCAAACATGTAAAAAGAAAAGTGCATGAGTAACAAGTAGCAATAATGAGAAATCTCTCTCTCTCTGACTGAACCGTGTGTATCCTTTGGGTGTGGCACGCACCGACGGACACAGCTCATGTAGCGACGACCAGAACAAATCTGCTGAAAATGTTTGCCAAATCTCGCCTTGTTCGTACATATCTAATCCTAAGCAGTGACTCAATAATATCCAATGTCTTGTTTCGCACAGTTGATAATAATGCGTTTCGATTATCTCCTGAAAAGGTTGGTTTCATACTTTCTAAATCGTTAAGCAATCCATCCGGAAGGAGGATTTTATCACAATTATAAAATGACCAAGATCACTTTACCATGATGATGAAATTCATTCGGAGGCAACTCTTGGTTTCATTTTCATTCAGCCGACCCAACCTCGAATCTAATCCATTGTTACACGTAAATAAATATGATATGGATGGTTCAGCAGAGCTTGAGGAAAATTATTTAAAAGAAAAAAAAACTAAGTGACCAATAGTTATCTTGACAGGATCAATGTTTCTCTCTGTGAGAATAAGTTGTAAATGAACATCACACACAATAATCATCATCTCGTATCGCGTACAATAGGGGATGATCCTCAAAGCTGATTAAGGAAAGGAAATGGACCAACAATGCCATGCATTTTTTGTCCTCTCTCTCTCTCTCACTCTTAATCACAGTTGGCATCTCTCAATTATGAGCTGACTAAGCTACATTTAATTGTTCGTGGTTTTGTTAATTTTACAAATGTCTTTTTCCTCGAGTCGCCTTTACACAGTTGCGTCCATTTGGAGATGAAATAATTTTTGTTACCTAAATAATAACGGGAAGAAAGAAACGAGTAACAATGCGTCAGCCTCAACTAATCGATTAATTATAACCATCCTTGCATTTGTTCCATTCCATCCGGGACAGGTGTACAGAGTGACTCTGAAAAATTATTTATCTCGGATTTGAAATAGTTTTATTAAAAAGAGCAGAACAAGAAGCAACTGATTTTGCATGCATGCTGAAGACCCTTGTCGAATAAGGCGTGAAAAGTTAGCGTCCACATTTTGCAGCATTGTGTTGCTCCGACTTTGATGAATTCTGTAATTCTGACGAGTCTATTCTTTTCATTATTCGGAGTGGACTTTCACCTTCGATGTAATTACTACATTTTATTCTATGAAAGAGTTTTAGTTTATCAATCTACTTTGTATGTACTACATTAGATCTCAAAGTCCTGGGGCGCATAACTGCCCTGGTCACAACAACAATTGACGTGCATTAACAAAACAGACCAAAGGGTCCGACAACTGCCGACCCAATAGTTTAGTTGGGTTATAGTCGCTGATGATCTCTCTTTCAAGAATTTTTACTACTACCACTTCATAAACCTTGCGATTGTGTCTCGCCATTTTTTCTAAACTGGCCGACCACCCGTGCTCAATCAGACCATTTACGATTAGATTGATCCCACAATCACGGTTATCTTGCTCGCCTTATCGTGAAAAGAAAAGTGCAAACAACCTGCGCACCCACAAGATGTAAAAAAATATACATGAGACTTGATTGATTTCTCGATATGATTATTGGTTGGCGCAGTAGGATGAGAAATTATCAGACGTTTCCATTGAATCGAAGCCCGATACAGAATAAAGTAGCAAATAAAATGCAAACTAGAATAAAAGTGGAGCAAATAGCGATGCGGAAAGAACTGCAAAGACAAAACGGTTGGCTCTTTGCTTGCATTCATTCCTTTTCATTATGTGCATCTCTCATGTGCATTCATGTGCTCGCTCTTTTTGGACACGGGATTTCATTTTCAGATTATAAAGTTTTATAATTGGTTGTTGGGAGTCGTGGTGGATTGGATTGGGCGAATGAATCTCTCGAGGCAGAGATACAGAACGGAGTATAAGTAATCTCAAGATAAGATAAGAAATTAAATAAAAAAGGAGTGCAAAAAACTCTGGGTGTTTTGATGTTATTATAAAACTGAAAGTAATCTCCTCCACTACTGACATTGTGCTACATCCACCAATCCACCGAGATATAGTTGGGAAGAAAATAATAAAATAAAATAAAAGCGAGCATAAGGGAACAGGGCATGCATATTAAGTGAGTGTTGGATTTTGGATTGGATTAAGAGACGTATCCTTAGCGTGGCGTTTGCTGTTGCTGATTGTGGAGCATGCAGATGAATTTACAATTACAAAGGATTTTCTATTCACTTGAGCAAAAGAATGCTTGCTTTGCTTGTTAGAATTAAGAGTGAAATAGAAGAATAGGATTTTTAGCCTGCAGCAGCAGCAGCGTCTCAACTAACTGAGACACGTGAAATATCTGCATGGTATTTGAGGTGGGGTGAGACTGAGACACTTGTGAGACGACGACGATCTGGTCAGTTTTGCCATTCTTCGTTCTCCTTTCTCATTCGGACATTGGTTTGTAATTTGGTCATTACCTGGTATGCAAATGGTCTACATTTCACTTTTGAAACCATTCTCCCATGCAGCACAACAACGACTTAATTTATTTACTTAATCAGACAAACCTTTGATTTATGCTCATGAATGGAATGAAATCTCCTTATTCTCAATGCGTTAACTAACTTGAAGGCAGGATGAAACGGAAGTGTGTTGTTATGGTGTAGGAGGAATTGCAATAAGAAAGACATGAAATACGAGGGAAAGCTTATCGAGCAAGTGTCAATAATGGTAAATTATGGACACAATTTTCGTGGTTTGTCATCTCACACCATTATTGTAATACTTATAACTTGAGTAAGGAAAGGGAAAATATACAACAGTGCATGATACGATTGTTTAGAAAAATTGACAGACAATTACTCGCCCAGCTCGCAGATTTATGATAATTGGATGATGGAAAACTATCTCGACTGCATTTCATCAGTTTAATTAATTTACAAAAAAATCTTTGTCATTCACTCACATTACTTTACTGATGAATAAAAAAATTCACAAAGGAAAATTTTCTCCAATGAAACCTTTTCCAAATGTTTCTAAGCCAAGAATTAGTTTAAAAATGCTAGTCATGTATATTTTCCATAGCTGTTTAGCCAGCGTTAAATTTATTAAACAAGCATCTGTCAGTACCGACTCTTGTCTGACACAATTAATAAACTTAATAATTTAAAAATTTAACAATGGATACATCTCTACGGTAAAAGTGCCTTAGTTATTTTAAAATCGAGAAGTATGGATTTTATATGTAGACAATTGCATAATAATTTACAACTTGCTAATTTATCTAACTTACAATATTTAAAATAATTTTGTACAGTATTGAAATAATATGTTATATAATTAGTTACACAATAAATATACTACATACGTTAAGTCAATTTGATTTTGTAAGATCGTCCCATTGGGTTGCTGACAGGAAGAGACGATGGAGAAGACATTCCCCATTCGTGCCATACACTATCTTTGTCTCTGTATCGCCAAAAGTTCACCGTTGCGCTTTGACCTTTTGACAAAGTAATTGGTTCCTGGAATAATTAATAAGTATACATGAATTTTGTGGCGTGGTCGATCAACTTATTAATATGCCCAAAAATGAACGACACAGTTAGAAATGATTGTCGCGTAGCCAAAATTATATGCATGTCTTAAGCAGTTCAACTAGTACAATAAGTGCTTACCGCGAACGGAAAAAACATGGGTAGCCATGTTAATTTTCGCTTGGTGTTTAATTCAGGAAGAGAGGTTAAGAAAACGTTTTCATAGAGACTGAAGGCTGAGTAAAAAAGACAGCCATTTATCATGCAGTTTTCTTCAGGCGCAAAGGTTATTGCGCTGTAACGCTCATTTGGAATTCGAGCTTCTAGAAATCAACAAAAACTAATCATTATATATATATTTCTACAAATTAATAATAAATGCTAGTTTGTCAAGATAAACCTGATTTGGGATAGTCGAAGGAAAACGCCAACTTTGGTTTGCAAATATCATATTTCTTTTTAGTGAAAACACTATAAGGGTGTTCAAAGTAGTAGCGAACGTGATCATTTTGCAAATGGTTTTCTCCGATATGTCGGTCCCTTAGTTTTCCAACTTCTTTATGCATGGTTGAGGATGAAACTGGGACAATGAAAGTATGGAATTTTTGGGGAATCATTACTCCCCCGGGCTTCAGAAATTGTTGAATTTCGTCGAAGAATTCTGGGAGCCGTTCGTTACCCGACGGTGAAATGAGCACTTCGCAAATAATAATATCAACCTTATTTTCACTATTCCAGTCTCGCATGTTTATGTTCAATACGTTGAGTAGTTTATTCCAGTACTGGTTGTTGTAGTGGATAAGCGCAGCAGTAACGTTTGCGTCTTCTTCGACAGCAAAAATCTTAATCCGCCGTTGAGCTTGCTTTGCCGCCTCTAAACAACACACCGTCATTGGGACGTGACAGACCCTTGTGATAACCAGAGTTCTGTGAAAGAAATTACAAAAACTAATAATAAACCACAGGTCCAACTCAAGACTACAACGAAAATAATAATATAATGAATTTTATACATACACCACTTTCGTGTCTTTTTCCTCCTCCGAAACTAAAGTCATTAGAGCTTCACGGATTGCTGCAGTATAAAGCTTGTACTTTTCGGAGGTAGTTTGTCTACTCCTTGGCAATAGAAACCCTTCGGATTTGGGAGGCAACATCGGGAATAATGACCTTTGACATCCAAAATAAGCATCGTATACTGGGACCTAAATTTCAATAATGATACGCAATAAATAAGAATAAATGCAAACATAGTAGGTTTCCTCATAAACAAACACTTACCGCAGATTTCTTCAATGATTCGACGAGCTTTGGATACTCGTGGATGGCAATGGCAGGTCGATTGCCGCCTGGTTGGTCGTTTTCGCAAAAGAAAACCTTTGCACCCAGTTGAAGAAATGATTGCACCCAACTGCAATGTTCTTTTGATACCAAATCTACAACTCCATCTGAATTCTTTATGCAAAGCGCTGTAAAAAAAACGATGTAAGTACCTTATGAGCAAAACAGTAAAAAGTAAAGTTCTTTCAATGAGTAAATTAGTACAAATATACCTGTGGGAACAAAAATGTACTTTACATTCTCCCCGATCCAGCGCAGCATTTTTTCTCGACAAGGTAAGGTTTCGGTCAGTTCAAGACCAACAGACAGTCGGTGATTATGCCCGCACATGTTCCTGAATTGATTCCACCTAATAATATCATAAAGGACAACTTAGAAAAACAGGATCGCGAAGGTATATCCAAAAGGAACATTTTTGATAATTTTCATACATGCTCCAAGCGTGGTCATCAGGTAGGAGAGGCTGGCTTTCAAATAACAGAGGCACTTTTATTGCCACCTGCAGATTACAACGACAAAAGACAATAAAGACATACGAATATTTTCGATCATTTATAGTTATTAGTTTATCATGCATCTTCACTTGCCTTTGCTGGTGAGGTGAGATATCCTTGGACGAGACTAGCCATATGTGTAAAACCTTGACTTCCATCCAACTCTATGAATACACAGCCTATTGACGCATATCGAGCGAAGTCCAATTCCCGTCGGAGAAGCTTTCTTGCCCTTGACGCCATCACTTCGTTATCACCTTCTAACATGCCATTAACAAGGGACAACAACGCATAAACGTTGGACACCCAGACTAGATTAGGAGGAGATTACACAAGTTAGACATAAGTCAAGGTCCTTCGATTCTTTTCTGATATCGAAAAAATGGATGAATACCTTTGGTAGGAAGACATGCATCAAACCACGAGATAGGCGCGACCGTGTCTTCCTGATCCCAAGTCTCTAACGTTATTCGACAATATTCTGGCTTAAGGATTGACTCGATGCATATCAGGCTATATCTGAAAGTTAACCATTTTAAATTGTTTATAATTAGCCCGATAAGACAAAATATTGCATTCGCCGATTAAAGTAGAATTAAAAATGGACTCTGTACCCTTCAGCTACGGCAGATTTGAATGACTGTTCAACATCATTTGATCGTTCGATCATCAGGCCAACGCCAGGCACGGTATCTTTACCTTGTCCACCTTCAGCCATACTTAAAATATTTGAGTAAAAAGTGTTAATTGGAAAAGAGTGGAAATTTAACAAACAATAAAAAGTTTCCAAAAAATAGAGAAACTTTGTGGCAGAGTGCAGAGTGAGGTGGACTGGAGTGGAGGGAGAGCGGCTTCTTGAATGCTCACTTGTACGGTGAATGATGACCTCTCCTGGCCGCTCTATCAAATGCTGAAGTGTGCTTGCTACCGGCATGTCAGCTTTCTTTTAAAAAAATCTCAAGTTCCTCAACTTCATTTTATTATACCAAATTTTTTCATGTCGTCGTAGCTTCAATGTTTGATTCGAATTTAATAAATAAAATGAAAATAAACTTGAAAATGTATTTTTTGTAGCACGTTGTTTATTATAATATATATTGTAAATTTCACCGAATGATAACATACTAGTTTTAGTTTTGTTAGTGCGGAAAAATTACCACACTTTTCAAATTTAATGTTTAGATAATACATCAGCGGTTCATCTATCTAAATTTACACCACCACGTCTCGCATACGACTAATAGCAGCTTACATCAAGTAATGTTAATCAATAAAATTATAACTAGTTCATGAACATGTAAAGAAAGGAAAACAATAAGTAGATACAATACATCATTTAATTATGCCATTTCAAGCTACAATATTCGCTTTTTTAAGAAGTTAATTATTATGAAAAACTATTTCTTTTGTCATTCTACTTTACTAAAACTAATTGCTAAATACACACTAGTGACGAGCTTGAGGAAGGATTATTGAGTTATTGGTTTCCATACATATGGGATATCAGTTTCGAATTCTTCAGTAGGTTATTTTTCTCAAAGGAAATCTTCATTAATAATACCAACCCGTATAACATATCTAGTCTATTTTGGTTACCAGACATTACAATAATATAAAGTATTAAAACTACTAAATGCAGTTAATTAGTGTGGTTGTACTATGCAACAATATTGAATTGAGCTTAAAAGCGTATGTTTCGTCTCTCTCTCTTATTACTTGTTACTTGTACTCTATTTGATTTACAAGTTATGTATTCAATCATTCAAGGATTAAGGATAATACCAGTCATAGTGGTTTATAACAATAATATAATAACCAAGTCTATTACATAATCTGTCAAAATTCGTAAAAAGTTTCTAATTCTACAGATTCAAAAATAATGTGGGAATGGTTATAATGCAGTAGTCATCAGCCACTAAAAATAAATTTAACAGGTCCCTGTATCGTCATCAATACTTTTATACTTAAGTAGTTTATCTTTGTCATGCAATGCAATATATTTAAATTGGCAGATTGTCCACGAGAAATAGAACCAGAAAAATACATATATTCGTATATATCTACTCGCCTTTCTCCATTTTCTTTTCCATGACCTTCTTGATTGTTTTGTGGCTGGTGTTGACGATTCTCTCAGTAAACTTTAAGGATCTGGGGAAAGATAGATTCATAATTAAATAGAAGTGTCAACAAGCAACATAGTGTCGTAGTAAAGTAAATAAAACATAATTCTGCGTACTCGAAAACCTGAACAGCCGCAGCTCGCTGAATTGGGTCATCGCAATGCAGCCAGGAAAGAACATTCCTACAATCTCGAGCCAGCTTTCGCATCTTAATTGTCTGTCAAACAAGGCACAAGGAAATAATAATAATGTCAATGCAATGTCAAATTATTGTTAAGAATTATTAAATATTTCGACTTACCCTTCGCTGAGACCCACTCAAATCTTCATCGTCCAACTCGTACAGTGATTCCTGGGATGATGAGTCATGTGTATTATTCATCCCCGTCGACTTGACCACTTTTTCCATGCTGAAACCTGGTAGTTGCCCTCCTACATGTCGATTAGAAGAAGTGGAGGGAGCGCATTTATCTTGTCGGGTTGATGTGCTGGGTGCGCTCATTTTCATCTTTGGTTGGAGAGTTGCATTTTCTGGAACATGTTTGCGTTTTTTCGTGTGCGGAATTGTAGCCGATGGACCACAACACTCATTTTTGTAATCCCTAATTACAAATTAATAAACTAATTTAATAACACAAATTACGCATTATATTTACGTGATTAATATTTCTCTACCTTTTGAGGACGAATACTATAAATTCATAAAAACTATAAACTCACCGAAAAGGAGCTGAACAAATTCTCAGATTAATCATCGATCTTCCACGAACTACTCGACTATTAAGACATGTTTAGATTAGTTAACCAATTCCACTTTATTTTCATTCATAGTTTTAAGTTTTAGTTTGTTTTATTAAACTCATGAGAAAAGTTACCGGTGGTCAAAGAGTGTAAAAACCAACGCGGTGGGTCGACGATTAATGCCAAAATCTTCGCTGGATCGGCATGAAGATCGACATGTGAATGCCAACTTTTGTATAATTGAGGTGACACCGGGCTATCAAGTTAATACAAATTTTAATTTCGTTCGTTTAAGTTCGTTAGCCAAAAGATAAGAGAACAGCTCGATGAATAAATAATATACCTCAGGATGGCGCAAGCCAATCATGCCGTAACAGAATCCAGTCCGCTCACTCGTGAAATACGTAACATTTTTGTCATCAGAGTTACCACGAACAATGTGATGCAGCGATTTGTTGAGTTGATCTTGTTCACTGACTAATAAACCAATTAATTAATTTTCTAACAACCTCTTTTGATTTAACATAGGCATAATAATATTTTTAGTTGTGGAGAAGTAAGCAGAAAATTCATTTATCAGACTTTGACTTACTAAGTTTCTTTTGCGTCTCAGCGCAATTGATACATTTCAATACGGGTTTGTTTTGATATTCAGGATCCGTGTAGATCAATGAGAAACGAATACAGTACTTCTCAAGGTTCGTAATTGAATTAAAGTCCAGCTTAATGACGAACTCGAAAGTACCAAGGTCACAATAGAACTTGTTGTAAGTGTCACTATAGATGCATTTAACCTTTTTGCCAGCGTGATTAGGAACGATCTGCACGGAATCAATTAAACAAATTTAAAATCTCCAAAGCTAATGGTTCTAATCTCCAGAATTGCGTACCCCAAATCCGAATGGACCCCCATACTGTTCAAAGCAAATGTTTTCATTTCCCATTGGACCTTCAGGCCCTGTTTCAGTTGTTGCTGCAGCAGTAGACGCAATTTCATGATCGGGAATTGCTCCTGCCATTCCTTCAATCGCTGATGAAAGTCCGAAACTATCTTGTTGTGAGAGCCGATACGATGCAGGATATTCTCCTCCCTCGCCGTGTAAGAGTTGTTGCAAGATGTTATCTTGGCTAACCGAAGCAGTAGCAACCGGTAAGGTAGGATCGCCATCCGCTTCCGACAAATTCAACTTGTTTGGATCTAGTTCCACCAATGAAGTTGAATTTGGATTCCGAGCAATTTCCACTCCCTCCTCCTGTATTAATGAACGAAACCCACCATCGAAAAGATCAGCCGTATTGATTCGTAAACTTTGGCTTCCTTCAAACTCCATATTTCCGTTCATCTCGGCTCCTTTTGGCTGACTTAATGTGAAATCGTCAAATGCCATGTTATTTTGGCTGTAGTCGAATCCCAGAACCAACTCTTCTTTCACCTGACTGTCCCCTCCGACAGCGTGGTGATTATGGTGAAAAATATGATGTTGATAGGCCTGATTCCCCGTATCTACACTAATAAAACAATAATACAAACATTGTTAATATCGTTAATATCGTGTCGCGAAAGCTCATACGTAAATCAGACAAAACTTACACCGTCTTACTTCGACGCATTGTTGCCTACAATTTAAGGAAGTAATTTTCGACTCCTCTCTCCACGTCCAATGTGCAGCGTCGCCAACTAACTTAACAATCACACTCGTCACCTTCACTCTCTCAGTCAGCCAAATAGAGAACAACGGACACAAGTCATTTAAAATGGTAGACACGATATGGCCATTAATTGTTGCAAAAAATTGGCAAAAACTAAAATATTAATATTAAACTCAGGTGGTTTGGTTGGAGGTTGCTGCTATCAATCACTCCACTGCTGCACTGCACTCCACATTACTGATTGCTTTTCAGCCGGGTTTACCACCACCACCACCACACGAACTATACGAGTGCTCACTACAATCTCTTTGTTTCCCTGTGGCGGTGTTGGTTGAGTTTGCTGTGAGCAAACGTTTTTTAACCGACATTTTTACCATGAAACTTGTTAGTTTTATGAAATTTTCGGATTTGAGAATTTCTGAAATCTGAAATGCTCCCACATATTTTGATTACTGTGTTTAAAAAATGTTGTCTTATTGCCCAATAATGATTAACCGACGTGACCTTTATTAATACTATTTGTCAACAATGAACAAGTGAATATTTGACCGATCTAACTAAATGCGTACATACATCTGGTATTAATCAATACAAGTAAATAGTTTCTGCAAGTTTTTCACAATAAAATTATTATATAAGTCTAACCACGTGTGTAAATCATGATATAGTTGCATTTTTAGTAATAATAGATCTGAACGGAAAGCAAAAAAAAATACCTCTGTGTAAATAAAAGTTAAGTAGCTAGCTGCCTTTCTCTGACTAATAAACAATTTGAATCTGAAAACTATTTCTACTTATAACAAATGACAATAATGACAATAATAACAAAAACGTGATGTCTGATTTCTTATATACTGTAATACAACTATAGCTGCCACCTTGCTTGACTAATTTTCAGGAGCATAGTAGTAATTTATTGTATAACAATAATATAATAATCATAATATAATAGAAAACACTTAATGGTATCTAGTAATACTATACGAAATAAAAACAAGAACAAGGTGGGCATGTTAACTTATCTCTTTTTCTAGTATAGCAGAAAAAGCACAAGTTTCAAGACAGAAACGGAGACTCATTTAGGCCGTAAATGACTTTATAAATTCAGGATCAAACATGATCTCAGGTCGAGAGTTTTCTGGGCTGCTGGGAGGCGTCACGATTTCTTCAGGAGGTCCTGGAACCTCTAGTTCAAGATATTCCTGAAATGCAAATTAGCGTTATTTACAATACTTCTATTAAATAATTATATTAATGTATACTCACCGTTTCACAAGCAATGTACAGAATGCGTCCAATGTCTTCGACTAAATGACTAAAGATAGGGCGACCAGTTGGGTTGTCCATCCAGCAGTCTCTCATCAAGATGTATCTATAGGCAGAATTATTTAAATTTCTTGTACACGTCACTATTACTAACAATTGTAGAATGATAATTACTAACAATTCTGTGGGACAATTAGGCGGTTGCGACATCCGTTGACCACTTTGTATAAATTCTAACAAGTAGTTCATCTTAGGAATAGTTGGGTATGGTGAACCCCCAAGAGTGACAATTTCCCAAAGAAGGATTCCGTAAGACCATCTAAAAATTTATCAATCAATTGGTTGGTGTGGCATAGTAAAGTTATTAAGCTCAGTCAATATCTTAAATTTAAATACTTACACGTCAGACTGGGAAGTATAAACACGGTGGATTAGTGTTTCCGGCGCCATCCACTTGATGGGGACACGTCCATCCGATTTCTTTCGGTAATAATCATTTGCAAATGTACTTCTGGTCATTCCAAAATCGCATATTTTAGCCACGTGGTTAGCAGCAATAAGAACGTTTCTTGCAGCCAAATCCCTGTGCACGTACTAGAGCAACAACACATTACAATTCAGTAAGTAGTAACGAATTTGTAATCACAAATATTCAAAAATATGTATGCATTACTTTTCTTTGAGACAAATAATCCATTCCTCGTGCTACTTGATACGCATACGACATCAGGTCTTTAAATGATAAGGCGGTTTGTCCGGACGGTATGGCTGCTGTTTGGTCATTTTCATAAACTTGAAGTACCGTGTCGGGATTGTTATTCATTTTATTAAAAGTGTAATTGTTCCGATTAGTCCGAAGGAATTCTAACAGACTGCCATGTTCAGCAAACTCCATAATGACGAGTAGTTGTCCTCCTTCAGTACAACATCCGAGTAGGTTGATTATATTTGGGTGTTTTCCGAGCTCCTTCATGGTCTCCATTTCCGATATCAAGTCAATCATATCAGCATCAGAGTGTGTATCTAAACAATACATAATTCTCAACTGCTGTAAAAACTAATAGATATATTTATAATGCGACTATTTAAATAAACAAACTGTACTTTTAAGTGTTTTAATGGCAACGGTGGTAGTTACTCCTCGGTCAATTATCCCATGGGCAGTTGCCTGACAAACTTCTCCGAAGGCACCTTCACCCAAATACTTTCCAATTATTAAGCGACTTCTAAGAAATTCCCACCTTTCATCTTTTGGAAGTTCATATTCTTGAGCGTTGGCTCGGTTTGTCGGAACACTTTTTATGTTTACTTCTGGAATTAGCTGAAATGTACAGTATTCGTAGAATTATTACATTTTGCATTACTTACTCCTTTAATTTTTTAAATATCAATTGCACTTACTATTGCACCGTCTTCACTATCACGAGCCGGAACTCTATCCACGACGACTACCTTAGTCCAACCTTTATTACCTTCCTTAATCTTCATTCTTAGTCTGGGCAGAGGGAAGGTTTAACATAATATTATTAGGAATTATCATAATTGATTTTTTTAAATTAAATCATGTCGTACAGCGACTTACTTTTTTAACTGATATCTATTAGTGAAGAACCAAACTGCGAATATCGAGAGAAGTAAAATACCAGCGGCCAATGGAATTCCAATCGCTACAATTTCAGACATTTGGGCAATCTCATTGCTGGAAACAGCAGCGTCGGTTTTCACTTCTATATAAAATCGACATTAAAAGAATATATTAAGAATAATTGTCATCTCATCATTTGGAACTATGCAGTTATTTACTTATCAAATATAAACAACGTTTTACCTGTCACTACGTCAAGATAGACAGACATGTTTGCCCGACCGATGCTATTAGTAGCTAAGCAGGTATACCAACCAGCGTCAGCTAGAGTCACATTCTCCAAATAAAGAATATGCGAATCTTGGTAATAGTCATCGTCGGTTCTTGACTGTAATAATTTCAAGATATTTAGTCAAATTAGGATCAATTTAGTGAAAAATATTACAGCAACACTCCAAACACACAATGTTAATAATAATATTATGGATTGAAGATGTTATTAGTTTTGTGGGACGCTCGTTATAAATATATTTAGCATGTATAGTTTATAGATTGGTTCGTTAATAATAGATGTATTAAAGTAATATTAAAGTATTGAACAAATTGTTCCATGTTATATTATTTTTATAGTACTACTGATTCAGCTCAAATTTGGGTCAAAGTAGAATTTTATAAAATCAGTATCAGAAACGCTAGTCGATACCTTTATAAAAGTTTATTGTGGTCTAGAAAATTAGTGAAAGCAAGTCACACACGCAAATCGTAGTAAGTTTTAAATTTTATACAGCATAGCTCCTTGAATTATAATTTGAAAATGCATCAAATTAAGCTAGACCAGCAGCGTAAAATGAAAATGTACCTCGACGGTTTCAAATATTTCGGGATTTTCGGGAGAATGCTTCATCCACATTACGAAATATTCAGCGTCACTCAATATTTCCACTTTTAGGAACGCATTACCCATTTGCATCACAGTTAGATTTTTAGGTGCTTCAGTAAATATCGGTTTGGCATGGTTAACCTCTATATATAGATCATTGTCAAATTCAATTAAATATTCATTTCTTAAAAATTTATAATCAAACAAATTAAATGATAAAAAGAGTTAATATTTGATATCACACCACACACCATGCCAGATTGTGTTTAGCAAGCAAAGGGAAAGAAAAAATCATACAATTTATAAAGTTCATAAAAAAACGGATGCTAAAAAGTATTCAAGTTTTGTATGTTTTCACATATGTATCACTAGCCCATTAACCTTACTTAATATTTATAATTATATACTTGCTTAAATAGTCTTGTAGTTATCACGTTAATTATCACCTTTCAGTTGTACTCAATGCGCGATGTTATTTCAACTTATATTTCTGTCATCTTCCATCAAAGTTAACAAATCATAAAAATAAATAGAATGTTGAACAAACCTTTATGGGCGTCATTTGGTCTCCGAATTTTCTTTTGAATTGTATATTGACACCAATTAATTCGTCGTAGTTTAAAATGTCACATTCGATCTCGACAGGTTGCCCTGCTAGCACGGTGATATTTGCCAGTCGATTTATTAAAATTTTTGTGGATGGCCTGTCTGCATGGGGAAAATCATAAGAAGCTTCTATAATTTAATAGTTTAACTAACACGAGAGAGGGTAGAAGATCGTTTAAAATTCTCTACAAAATAATACTTCCCATCACCAACATAGACATAACCTTGACCAATGACCAGGTACTTTGACAATTAACTAATACAAATCACCAGAGACTTAAAAGTTGTAGATACGATAATGATATTTGAAAACAGAATGAATTATCTGATTTAAATTAAGAGTGATTAGATCCGGTATCACAAAAGCAAAAGTCATGCGTAAAAGTGCTCAAAAAACTATTAATCTAATGCGAAATTGAGTGAAAAGAACTCCAAGACACACTACATTCCATGCGAAGCAATACATGCATTCAATTTTAAATACTCTTACGTTGAACTTTGACTTCTTTGTTGATTCTGATTCTTGAATGCGAATTATAAGCTTCACAAGAATACACGGCCGAATCGGACTCTGTAGCCTCCTTCATTGTTAACGTATTGTTGCTTATCTTGTAGTGGTAGCCAGCCGCTGAGAATGGCTCGTCGTCTTTATACCAACGAAGTTTCGGTGGGGGGTTTCCTTTTAAAAAAGATAAGAACGGGACAATTAAAATCAGTATTAAAAAGGAATTAAAAACTAATAATGAACTTATCACCACCTTTCGGGTCACACTTAAGTGTTAATCCACTTCCGGCTGGAAGTATATGGAATTGATTGAGCCGGTCCCCATGACGTTCGAAACAAAGATAAGGAGCATCCTCAGAAAATCCAGGTTTAGCTCTGATACGGTCGCAATCAATAAGCATTTCTTCAGAATATTCTGCATCGTCGTCGTACTCCCTGTCATGTTCTGAGACTAATTGTTTCTTCTTCTCTCCGTCCTTCTTTCTCACCACGGTTATGTTGATATTGCGGTGGATATTATTGACATCAGGCGAGTGTTCATCCTTCAGAATACATTTATATACCCCGGAACTGCTTGGTTGGATTTTGTTAATGGTCAACCTAGACAGAAATTATTACCGTATTACTACTGGTACACAAAAGGTGGTCAATTAATGGACTTACCCGAGTCTAGAAATTTCGAAGCCTGACCATTGGTGAGCATCTTCTATTTCTTTGTCATCCTTCCACCATTCTGTTCTCGTCGTCTCAAATGGTTCATGGGGACCGATGCAAACGATTTGAATTGTACTCCCCTTAAGCACCGTGGTCGCATTCTGCCCTTCAGAAAGATCTACAAAAGTGGAAGCGAGAGGAAAGGTGAGATAAAACTAGTAAAGGTGCTTCACTCAATCACCTTTCTCACTACTCAGGTGAGCTTGTAGCACTCATGTGAATGATTTACGTCTCATTCTTTTCTCATTTTCCATAATTTTGAGACTTTTTACAAATCCTAAAGTATGGAAAATACAAAAAATGTGTGACCGGGCATCACAGTATTTTGAAAATTACTACTTTAATAATTCTTATTTCAAATCATCTCATGACTGAACTATCGTCAAAAATCTCACATACTACTCAATTGTACTTTATTAATTTGACATCTTTTTCTCTCAAATTTCATCCATGTTTTCACTCTTACTTAATTTCCCACAAAAACCAAAGTAAAAATTGTATTCAATAAATAATTAGTTAAACTTACGGATAGGGATTATCGGCTTCAGAGCTTTATCCTTTTTATCGCCTTTATCCTTCGCTGATGCGACAAGGCCGCTCGCCGCCAACAAGAATATCAGCAAGTTTAACAACACTTTCGCCATGGTTCTTGGTTTCCCTCCACGAACACTAAAATAAATTTTTCTCACGCAAGTAGTAAACTTTTTGACCAACTTTTTGAAACTAACTGGAAACTAACCGAAAATCACAAAATAAAGTTGTTCGAAACAAAAAAACTTGTAAACACGATTCGAAATAGTCAGTTTAAAATATTTAGTCGAGGCGAATTGAAACGGACAAAAGTGAAGAACTCTGAATCGCCTGCTGGCAGCAAGCAACTAAATAAAGTCAAGCAGCTACTTTTTAGAGTCCAAGGAGTCAACTAACCCACGCACCGACAAGAAGAAGAAGAGCATCCACCACCAGCAGCTTGGTTGGTGCCTTTCCTTCGTCACATTTTCTATTCCTTGGGTCTCGTGGAAGAGAGAGGCTGAGATTTTATTTCACTGGAGATATGGCATGTTCACTCTTCGATAGCGGTGGATGATCTGACGCTCTTTATTTTGTCCGCCCCAAGAAAACGGAGATTTTTCTTAGAATGAATGAATGAAGAGGATAAGCACTTGATTATATTCTTAGTTTACCATATGAGCAGAAGAACCTGCTCTTTTTACTTCTTTCCAACAAATTGCCATTGATTGGGTTTGGTCTTTTGCGTGGTGGATTGGATATCAAGCTTGATACTTGAAGGAAGTTTGTGATTTTGGAGGATATTCCTATTACTTGCTATATGCGCCCCATAAATGAGTGGGGATTGTATTTGTATGTATATGCAGACAAGTTAGAGAGAGAGAGAGAAGGCCTCTAAAAATACACTTGTTAATACTAATGTACGCGACTATAAGCAAGTTGATAGACTGCGACAAGAAATGGTTTAATTATTACAGAGTTGTTTTGCCCTGTTGTATGTGAATGCGGGGTATCCATTTCCTTCCGACCTCCCTTCCGTTTCTTAATCTCATCTCAATACCCGTCTTTCTTTCTAGCTTGGGGATCCAGATGTGGATGAGAGTCGTGCTACTACTACAAACTGCATAATAATAATCTGTACGACGAAGAAGAAGATCTGTTCGGGTTAAGTTTCAAGTTTACTGGGAAAAGTTGGATGTATGCATATGTCGTCGTCGTCGTCGTTTGTTGGAAGCTTATTCAATCCAATAATGCTATGCTGCTGCTACTGCCACTCAAACTTTCTGAATGTTGAGTCAATCTTCTTGGTCTTTTCTGCCGTAGTAATAGTAATAAGTTAGTTTATAGATTTTTGTAAAGGAAGCCAAGAAAAATATGGGAGAGGAGTTCATAACAAGAAACAGAGACTGGTTTTCATCCTTCACTTTTCTACTTTGTTTATTCCACTTCGTCTTCAAAAGTTAAACAAACGGGATTCATTTTCTTTGCACCCTTCTCCTAATGTCCACATACATGTGAGGAAAGCCAGTCTTAATCAGTGTCTCATTGGGGAGAAAAGGGCCTTGAGTGTGATAACAAGACTGTAAAAACAAAATACATATTCAGTCATTGTCGTCATTCACATGGCGTCTCTACATTTGCACATCAGCATCAATCAAAACTTGTAAAATTTCTGCGCACTTTTTCCTTCACATTTTTCAAATTTCAAATTTCAGCGAGGAAATTTCCATCACGATGTTAAACCAGAGCCAAAACTAATATTATAATGTGTGGCAGATGATGAACAGAGGATGCAGGAGCAGATCAATAAATAAAGGCTCGCATTATGCAACTTAATACCGAGGCTGTGGGGTTAAAGCAACTTGAAAGTGCAGAATATAATATGTAATTCTGGTAAATGGTTACTGCTTGGGGACCCCAACTTGGGGTAGGAGTTTCTTAAACTAAGACCAAGAAGTAGAAAAAATCGTCTCAGGTTCTCAATTTTGAAGGTTCAACAAGTCCAGAAGAAAAGAGGGCAGTCTTGTCTTTATTGGACCGTAGAATTAGTATAGTCAACTGTACATCGTAGTCAAAGTAGTAGTTTGTAGTAGTTGGTTGTAGGAAATTAGAGTACAAAGATGTTCTCTGTTCTATACAACACCCTTAACAGGACGGACCCGGTTTTGTCCAGACGTAAGGTTTCGGACGTTAAAATGTACTCACACTCATCCATACATACATACGTATAGAATAACACAAGAAAAGGCTCAAATCTGGCATAAAAAGCAAAACTTAAATACGATTATGTTAAAAAACATTTAAGGCTATATTTCTTAAAAAGCTTGCATTTCCATCCTCCTTCAGTTTGGTTTAATAATGTTTATTATTATCCTTTGTATTATTAAGTAATGCCGGATACATTTCTGAAACCAACCACATACATATGCGCATAGCACACTTGTAAAATATGCACTGGGTAGAAACTTCAAATGTAGGGTGAAAAAAAGCATGGCTAAAAATATATCCAGAGTGGAAGACATTAAGTATGTGATGACTCACCAGGTCACAGAGAAGCCACCACAATTTATTGAGGATTAGTGCAGAAAATAAGTCGGCAAAGAGGCGGAAGGTGTATATTTACTATGAAAGAATGGAGAATATTAAATAAAGTAAAAAGGTGGATTTTAGGGTCTCATTTTATCCATGAATACCGGAGTAATAATAGATAGTTAAGTATTAAAGCGTGCTTGTGTGCGTGTGTGTGAATGCATCGTCGTCGGGTGGGGTGTTGGACTAATCGAGGAAATTATGAGATCAATTGAATGTACAACACTTTATTTTGAAGTTGAATTGAACTGAATTGAAGGAGGAATTGGGTAGAAAAAGTGTCCCGTTTCTTCATCATGATTGATCATTAAAAGATCTTAAACTCACAATGGAGGCGCAAACCGTGTTCAGCCCAGATAATTTTTCGACCATGTTAGTTTGGAAGAGCAAGTCTTTAGAAACAACATTTAGTTTGGCACTTGCGCAGATGCGCAAAATTCGGCACGTTATAAGCGCCGCAAGTTGGCAAAAACGCATGGTTTTTCGTGCAATGCCCAGCGCGAGCTCAACTTCGTGCGTTTTTGCGAACTTGCGGCGCCCACAACGTGCTGAAATTTGCGCATCTGCCCAAGTGCCGAACCAAATGTTGTTTGTAAAGACTTGCTCTTTCAAACTAATAAGGTCAAAAAATTATCTGGGCTGAACATGGTTTGCGTCTCCATTGTCAGCAAAATTTAGAGGACGAGACCTTTAGTGGAAGTTGCCTGTTTTTTACATAATAAAACCAACCCACTAAAAATGCTTGGTTTGGTTGACCCTTTTTTACAGAGAAGTTGAGACTGGCCTAAAATCTACTTCCTAAAATTTTCATCTAAGGATGAATCAACCATTTCATTTCCTCTCTCTCTCTCCTCCCGCACACCGGACTCTGCATATCACACACGATCATTGCAGACACAGTCGCCGTCGTACTCATCGCAGTGATTCAACCTATTTGCTTATAACAATTCTCCTTCAGCGGAACCGGAAATGCGGGATTGAGCACTTGAACTTTTTAAACAGACGGGTCTTCATTATCGCTCCTCTTCGGAGATGGAGATTTTGAACCACCCATTTCTCTTCCTTGGTTAGCATGGCTTATATTTTAGTTGGTTTGGTTGGTGCAGATGAGAAAATCTTGCATTAAACCTTTTCCCGTTTAAAATTAGTAAATCAAAGAAATGCTCACACACACATGGCCACCATCCATCCATCCCTGCTGTCAGTAGAATGGGACCAAAAGATGACACGAACTAACTCCTGCACTTTTACATACTCAGCATATGTGATTGATAAGCAAACCAAAAACCAGCCAATAACCTTCAATTCATTGTCATGCATGCTGTCTGGGTCATTTTCCTTTTGTCTTTCAAACCAACCAATCCTATTCTGCATATTGTCGTACCACTAAGAATTTGGGAATTAATAATGTGAACCTGCTGGAGAACAACTATCCCAAAGAGAACAATGAGCTAACTATGCATTTGAGGTGGTCGAATGAGAGAGTCGAAGATAATGATAATGGAAACTGCACAGAATTTATTTAATTCAACTGAATATTCAACCCTCAATTCAAATCTTTTGTTAAATTTGATCTTTTAGTTCTCCTTTGACGGATTAAATATTTTATTATTAATTATTATCTTTTATTTCTCTATTTCCAATTTATTTCAAGGACGAATATAATTTGGACATTTATTTCTATTCACAGCATTCATTTCTTAATTCAGAATGGTTCAGGTTCATTTCAGAAATGAAGAGACCGTCGCGTCGTCAGAAGTATGTAATGGATACACAATCAATAAAATAACGAAGCTCGCATGCTTCCATCGAATTTGGCTATTGTTTTGAAAATAAGGAATAACGAGAAGAGATACATATAAAAACACATGAAAACGGACATCCTTTGGGTAGTCGAGAATATGTATTTAGGACAAAAGAAAGACAAGGACGAATTTTAAGAACCAATTTTGTGACATTAATCAATATCATATTGTTCTTTGCTTCTTGATAGATACGAATAGCCTGTACAATTCTTCATTAAGCCCATCATTCTTCATTTTCTTGTCTCGATTATTTTATTAGTCACACATACATTCTTCTATGCCCATCATAAAATTTTGCGTCTCTACTCAACAACCAAAATGAGAATGGTATCAATAAGTTTCAAAGACTGACGAGATTTCAACCCTTACAAGACTTCCGAGTAACTTTCATTTTCGACAAGTAGATGCCGACATAGGGGCAAAATCCCGTCCTGTGTTTCGCCTCTTCTTCTTTGAGGGAAAGTAGAAACCTTTTCCCATCTCTGTGAGGAAAAACTTTCTCTCCCGACTTGGGAAACTTTCTCCCAAAAACGGCTCCTCGAGCTGAGAGCTAAAGCTACATACGGAGGAGATCAGTGGATAAATATGTATGCAAGCAATCTATTACTTTTACTTACCGGCTTATTCTACAGCCAGATACGACTTAACTTAACGTAAAATGACTTACGACAGAAAAACTACTAGGTACACAGGCATGTACATGCATATCTGTTCTTAGATGGCTTGTAACAGAGCCCCCACGCCGCCGATTTTACCCCAGCGTGCCGCCGACGCCGATCGGATTTGAGGCGCCCTCGCTGCTAGAAATTTTCGATGCGCTTCTGAGGAAAAATCATTTCATACAATGAAATAAGCTAAAATGGTAAAAAAAAGTGTCGAAATTTTAATTTTCATGGTTTTATTTGTGGTTGAGAATATAAGTTTTTTGCTATGACGCATACTTAGCGATCAGAACTCTCAATTTTTTTGCGTGGGCTAGCAATTTAGAGGTGTAGGTATTCCACAGATTTGATTGGATTAATTTTAGGTTGTTCAACGAAGACCAATATCAGCAGACCCGTAATTTGGCATTTTTCTTAATCAACGAATTTTACTGTGCGGAGGAATTTTGAAATCATCCAAACTTTCGGGTTTTTCAAATGCCAAATGCTTTTAGACTTTTGACGTGATTTAAAAAATCGATAACGTACATGTTCAAATAGCATACTTGATTTTTTGAACTACTATTAATGTTGCATTTTACAAATTTTACGTTTTACCAACTCTTGGGATTTTTAAAAACTCAGAAACATGGAAAAAATCCAAAACTCTTAAAAATTTGAGGATGAATTTTTGAAAAATTAAGTAAGCGAAATACAACTTTCTAATTTTTGAAGTTGCGCTAAAATTTGAAAAG